TAGTAACTTGGTGCAAAGCCTCACTGTCTATAAGTTCCTACTTCGCTGCTCTTCAGCTGATGGCTGAATCTTGAGGAGGTTTACACGTTAGGTTCATCTGGTGATGGTGGGAAAGAGCATAGCTGCTGTAATTTCTCCCCCTTTGCCTGTTCTGCATTATTAAAGGAGAAAAAAGCATAGAGAAAAAAAACTGTGATTGAGATTAATTTTGCAATTCCTTGATCTCAAAATTCCTAATTGCATTATTTTCCAGGACTAAGCATGGTGCCAAAACATCATGATCATTTCTGCTATGAGACAACCTTTTGGATTTTGGATTAGTGCTTTTTTTATCTTCAACCTTACTGAAAGACAGGTTTTCTCTGTGTAACATCAATCCAAGTAACTTGACAGATGATGTCTAGATTTAATTTCATTGTCTCTGGGGCCCCCTATGTTACATATTTTCGACGTATTAAAACTTGGTGCAGTTGTACAGATGTGTGACCCTTATGAATTTTGAGTTGTTTTTCTGGAAATCTGTTTGCAAAAATTTGATCGTGCGTTCTGAAGTTTATATAGTACAACAACTTCTTTTTAAAACTCTCCTTTAATGTCAAATTTATAAAAAGATGCTTAAAATATGTAGTAACTGATACTGGGATTTTGGGTTTGGTGTTGTTTTTTTCTCCCAAATCTGTGTACTCCAGTAAAAATAATATCGTTGTAAGATGATGAATTTTATTAAGGTTTTAAAATGATCAGAGACACTTTTTACATGTACGTGAGGGACGAAGCATGTGAGATAGGCTACCTAGAGTGGAAGGCTTTGCTCCTGTGCCCATGCATCACCCCCGATGTGAGCCATGGCATCACCTCCTGCAGATGTCTGTGCTGCAGGTGGCTGTGGGTGCCTGGAGCACTGCTGCTCAGTGCTGAGCAGTCTGTGTTCTGCAAGCTCTGGGCTGAGGGAATGCCTCTTGTGACAGCAGTAAACTTACTGTGTGCTACCTGAAGAGCAAAAAGGTTGAAGTAAAAGAAAAGATGAAAATACCCACTACAGAAGAGCAAGAAGGGAAATAAACTTTTTTATCTCCACAGACCATTTCCAAAAGTATTAATTTCATTACAGCTCTGTTTCTTCTTCTGTGTCACTATCAATACTTACAGAGCTGAGCCTCTGTTATTACAGCCAGTCTGATATAAAGGAATCGAAACAATTTTAATGAAGGCTTTTTTGTTTTGTAATACATTGCTGTTACTGTGGAATGCTTTTTGTTTTAAAAATTACTGCCTTTTTACACAATCCTGCTTTTCTGCCTTTTGCTGTTGCTGATAGCCAAACTAAGAATGGCCTGGTATGAGAGTGCGAAAAGCACATAACTGAGCAATCCTAACCATGATGGTGGGCTTTCCTGGTGTCTAAATGATAATAAGAAATCAGTGGAACTATTCTGGAAGGTCAATAAATAAATAGAAATTACATGTTTTTACGTCTGTGTGGAATTTTTCTGCGTCTTACGGATATTAGGAAAGACCTACTTCGTCTTTTTAGGTTGGAGTTTAAGTTGGAGAGATTTACTTTCCAACTTACGTCACTACTGGTTTCCAAATGAGAAAGAAAAAAAGGAAGAATAGAGATGAGAGTTTTGTTTGGCAATCCTGAATTCCCTACCAGAGATATATTTTTATCTTTGGGGCAGTATTTCAATTTCCACTTCTGTACCTGACTCTTGATATTGTCACTGTTAAGCAGCAGATTTTAGAACAAGGTGGTCTGCTGTCCTGGGACAAGCTGTGTTTGTTCAGGCACCAGCCTCTTCTGAGAAGTCCTCTCTAAAGCTGATAGGATGCAGGAGGGAGAGCAGATTTTCCCATGGCTCTGGAGCATGAGGATTGAAAAGGGAAGAGCTTCTCCAGCACTGTGGAAGGGGACAGAGAGAATATGAAGTTACAAGCAGGAAAAAATTGATTTAGTCCAATGAGTTTAAAATAAAATCATCTCTCTTTTAGGGTCAGGACAGACTTTTGTATAGTCAGAATTACACATACCTATTTTCAAGTGGTAACACTGGGACATTTGGGGAGCAGACATCTGAATCAAGTGATATACGCTGTAGTCTTCATGATATTTTAATTTCACTTATCTGTAACATGGTGGGATAGATAAGCAAGCTGGCTAACCTCTGATGGAAAAGAAAAAAATTTCTCTTGAGTTGGACTTCAATTTTAGGCTTTAAAATTTCAAATTCTATAAAATTCTGCCCATGAGTGCCGTTGATCAATGGAATTAAACCAGTTGAATGGCCCCTGACATTGGGAAAATAAAACCTGGAAATGTACTAGAGAAAATAAATTAACAAATTTCTGTATAATGCTGTTTAGTTTGCTTTGAAGCAGAGTGCTTGCTGTTGGAAGGTTAATATTGACTGTGCTTGTGTGTTTTGTTTTTTGGCAGGTAACCCTGGACTGGCAGGTTATTACAGGACCTTTATACAGGCCTTATATTGTGGACTAAACCAGCAGTATCCCGTTTGGGTTGTGAGCCATGCCGGACATTGTAAACCTCCTAGTGGAATGGAAATGATAGAAGGTACAATACTGCAACTTGTGCATATGAATGTTTGTACCCCTCCAATTCCACTGGCAAAACTTGTGCCTATTGAATACAGAATGACATTGGTTTAAAATGTCTCAGTTGTATTTCCACAGAACAGATGTATGAGAAGAGATGTTACTGTAAAAAAAAAAAAAAAGTCCTTTTAGGTAAATCAGATTTGCCAGACAAATAAGTGTTATTAAGAGAATAAGAATTTGCTGTTGGCAGTCTTTAGAGACAAGGTCTAGAATGTGTTTATGTTGTGAAGAGCAGATTAGAAAAGTACATTTTTAAATTAAATGTCCAATTCAGAGATTGAGTACTTTTGGAGAGTTTTAATTATCTCTGAATTTAAAAATAGATGTACTAAAATAGTGAATTTCCAGGAAGCAAGTGCATCTTTCTGAGGGTGTGGGATGTTTGGAGGGGGGAGGTTTCTTGTGTGTCTGTTAAAAGTCTTTTGACATGCAGATCTACAGCAAGACATGGTAGCCAACTCACAGCAGATATTGTTAAGGAATAGCATTGTAAGATGCGGGGAATCCTGGACTGAAAGCTGCTTAGTGTCAGAAGACCTCTGGACTTGGTCAAGCAGTAATGTATCAGTAAATCACTAGGATTCCTAAGGACCAAAAGGTTCAGCA